GCTTACAGGATTTACATCAGGAAATAACACAACAAGGGGTTTGAAGCGATGAGTACAAGACCACCGCTAACATTGAAGGGTTCGGAGCGTTTGAAGGCAGAATTACAGCGGTTGAAAACCGAAGATCGCCCGCAAATTATTCAAGCGATTGCGACGGCACGTGAACACGGCGATTTGAAAGAAAATGCTGAATACCATGCGGCGCGTGAGCAGCAAAGTTTCTGTGAAGGGCGTATCAAGGAGCTGGAAAGCAACTTGTCGATGGCGCAAATCATTGATGTTGCTGTGGTCGGTGCGGCAAACCCCGGCAAAGTGGTGTTTGGGGCAACGGTTGAGCTGGAAGAAGTTGAATCGGGCGAAACCATTACCTACCAAATCGTGGGTGACATCGAAGCGGATATTAAGCACAACCGTATTGCTATTTCTTCACCGATTGCGCGTGCCATGATTGGTAAGGAAGAGGGTGATGTTGCTGTGGTGCAAGCGCCGGGTGGTGTACGTGAATACGAAATCGTTGCGGTTACTTACCAATAGTGGCTAATAACTTTACCCACATTGGCTTGTTGCAACACGGTGCAGTGGAAGCTGGCGATGTATTCTGTGGTGAATTGGAAACCACGTTAAGTAAAGCTGGTTGGAAACAGCTTAAGCAATCTTTTGGGCGAGCGGGTTCTGATTGGGATACGGTGATCACTTCACCTCGGATGCAATGTGCAGCGTTTGCTGAATGGTTTGCCCAAAAGCACGATTTGCCGCTGGTGCGGGATGAGCGCTTGCGGGAAATCCATTTTGGTACTTGGGAAGGGCGTACTCCGCAAGAAGTCATGGCAATGGATCCTGACCTACTCGCCGAATGGTGGGTGAATCCTGCTCAGGTGACACCTTCAGGCGCGGAGAGTTTCGGTGACTTTCGCGCCCGTGTACTGGATGCTTGGACGGAATTAGCACGTGCCTATCGGGGCGAACGAGTGCTGGTAGTAACACATGCCGGGGTGATCCGTGTGATTCTGGCACATGTTCTGCAAATGCCTGACGAGCGTTTATTAGCCTTGAATGTCGAATACGGTGCATTGACACGCTTGCGCGTTTTGCGTGATCGTGGCGGAGAGTGGGCAAATTTAATTGCCCACGGTTGCTGATGCTGACGGCACTGCATCGCTCATTTTTAGTAGCGTTGTCAGTGTTAACG